TAACTCAGCGAGAGTAATAGAACTCGGGGCATTTCATCCAAAAAGTGCAAACTTTAACCTCCATTGTCCAGTTCACTAGAAACATCTTCGATATCGCATTTCACCTTCAGTGGAGGCTCGTGTACTTGAACTAGTCTCCGTTCATTTGTTTTATTGATCAGTCGTACTGGTAACTTTTTTTTCTTGTAGCTCGCAAACGTAAGTGATTGAGCATCTAAGAAAAAAATTTAATTCTTCAGGAAGTGGATAAAGGCGTCAAGAAAATTTCTTGCAGTTTTTATTTATTTATTTTTATTATTATTTTTATAGGTAAGATATATAAAACAAATCTATATTAATAATACAAAAAGGTATGAAAAATTACTTTTTTTTAATATATAGTGTTTATTAATTTAAAATCTGTCTTATGTGGTTTATAAAGAAAATGGAAAGATGAACCTCTATATAATGAATTTTCTTTATAACGGTTTTTTTTTTTGGGGGGGGGGGGAGATTTAGTGACTTCGTTATATAAAAGTCCGACTGTACTTCACAATCTATCAAGAGTTACAGAAATGCCAGATTTTAATTCCAAACAGGCTTTAAAGTCTTGTGTGGACAATAATTTCACTTTATTGTCAAATGCAAAGTACGATACCAGAACTTGCACCAAAACAGAATATATAAAAACCGCACATGGTCGATTTTTTAACTTCGAAGCAAATAGCGAATTCACTTAAGAGGGATTTAGAACAGGGGACGGCAAACTTTTCCAGAGTACGGGCTACTGCTAATTTTTTCAAGGTGTTGCGGTCCACCAAGTGGTGTTGGTAAAATGTCTTTCAATGCTTCCTTTTTTTTTGGAAGTACCACACTTGAATGGCACATACAGCACAAACATTTTGCATTCACCACTGTAAAGAAAAACTGCATTCTGTATTAAAATTTTATATTTTTATTTTCCTTAACACTTACTTTCGACATTCTACCTTTCTTTTAAAAAACGACAGTTTACTATTTTTACGATAAAACCTCAATTAGTACGAAGTTGTTTATTTCTTCTGTTCAAAGTATTATAATCGATAACAAACCTTAGAGCGTAGACGCATTCATTGCAGCGAGCAGCGAACATACGTTTACCAATGAAATCTGTAACCGACGTATGTTGTCTCAGTAACCAATCCCTTGCTGTTGCAGGGTGAGTGAGTGAGTGAATATTAACGTCGCACTGTTCAGCTACACGAGGGCTTTTGGCGACAGACCACGTAATTTTGAACCATGGTCAAGTGACGTGGACGACACCTGAGCTGCACAGAGTGTGCTTTGGTTTCACAAAACGCATTCTTTAAAGAAACAAGCAGCGTAACAAAAGACAAGTTAGAGAACATTTAGAGGGAACTGGAATACCACCTAGACAGAACACGCTGCAATTTACTGAGGCAAATGGTCTTACAAAAATGTTCATAACAGTACTTATAACAAATTCAAACTAACATGTGTCTAACTATAATAGTTTTAGTACAAAACATATTTCGAATCAGGGCAAGACTTTTGGTTCGCCCTATATTATAATGTTATTGTCCTAAGACTTTAACTAACCCTGTACTTTTCCCAGGGCCGGCTCTAGCAGTTTTGCGG